CTGGGGAGATGAGAAGGGAGGTCAAGGACACTCCACACATTTGCAGAGGACGCAAGCCAACGGGACTTGTCCTGTGACAGGCCAAGGAAGCAACCTCTCCAGGTCTACCCAGACCCTTCTTCCTGCGGCAGTTACGAAAATGCAACTTTATAAGATGGACTGGGAACCTGTGACAGTCTCATTCATTCTGGTCTCTTCCAGCAAGATAGCAATTAAAAGACCATCTTTAATGAGCAGTTCCCAAGGAATGTCCCTTAATTATGTTTCCAGGCCTTGGCAAGTTTACTTGTAGACACTTCTCGCCTCTGTTACACTTAAACATAGCGGAAGACAGAGCTCCATGGCTGAGTCCCTACTCCACGCAGTCTTTTTGTTTCAGGCACCTGCAGTCCTAGCATTTCAGGCAGGAGTACCGGGCCTTGCAGACTAAGAGCTGTTACCGTGACTTTGAAAGGTGAGCGACTGGAGGACAGATTCTGCAACGGTGGGCCCAGCCTGCAGCAGACCTGCTGGCCTCTGTTGCTGCACCGAGGAGCTGGTTTCTACCATCTCATCAAATGTCAGGAGTGGCCGCTAGCTCCTGGTGGGTCTGAACCTTGGTGGTGATCAGACTTTTGTAAACCTCAGTGTCAATCAGACTTTTTCCACCATTTTTCTAACCAAGAGTTTGAGAGACTAGATATGAAGTAGAAATATGTTTTTGGAAGCAACATGGCTTTATTCTATTCCCTGGTGTTTCAGATGGTTAAAAACCTGCCTGCCATGCGGGAGACTCAGCTTCAATCCCTGGGTCAGGAAGATTCCCCGAAGAAAGAAATGGCAACCAGTATTCTTGCCCGGGAAATCCTGTGGACAGAGGAACCTGGTGGGCTACAGTCCATGGGGTCACAAAGAGTCAGAGACGACTGAGTGACTAGCCCTAATACAAAGGAAAACCAGACAAAATGCCAGACAGACACCTTAAGCTATGTATTTTTACCTATAAGATAAATATAGAAAGAAGATATTAGGAACTACCCTAATATGAAGAAAAAGTTACCAGTGCATTCTGAAAAAAATAAACCTTTAATATTCACTTCAATATTTCATGGATTCCTATAAATTGAAGCTATAAAAATATCACTTTAGAATAAAAGATGAAAATAAGATTTATTGAAAAGTATGATATCGACATTTCTATTGCAGAAAACTGTGGGTAACTTATATACCAATGTCCATCTCTTTTAGACTCCATAAGGAAAACCTACATGTAGGTGTTTTATGTATCTGTACTACCTTGAGAGAGAAAAGACATTGGGTGAAATTTTTTTCACATCTAAATAAATTTCAATTAATCCTGATTCTTTTGTTGATCTGATCACTGGGTTTGAAACAAAAAAAGGGGGTGACTGAGATACAGCAGAAGGGAAGTCTGCTAAGCGTGACTTGATGCTCCAATGTGAAAATGTGAAGGGGGGCATAAACCGTGTCATCTTTCTGGACACAAGTCTCGGATCAGGTACCCGTCCTTGTGGGACTGCGAGTCAAAGACACGAGCATGGGCCCCAGTTTCCTGGAACAAGCGTGGCAAAGGTTCAAAAAGGGCCTCAGTGAACCCAACTCTTGGAAACCCTTCACGGTCAGTGTTAGGTTTCTAATCCCACATATTCAACTAGATGTTTGCAGGGCCTTTTCCAACCCTGGATTCAGTTTTCTTTGGCAATGTGTTACCTTTTCTGGGATCCTTTTATTCAACAAGTTCCTCCTGAATTGGTTGAAAACATTCTTTTAAATCTTGATATGGATTCTAAAATAGAAGATGCTTGTGTTATTAGGACACCCCCATAAAAGACTGTTAAGTTTGATTTCACAGTGAGATATTATTCAGTGCTCACCTTCTGCTCACATGCATTAAATTTCTGAAAGTAAAGAGAGAAAAAAAAAACTCTTCTTCCTCACATAATTCTTTACTGATTATTTGAACATGCAACACTTTTAGTAAATAGTTAACTATAAAAATTCAGCCACTGGTTTTGTGCAATACCCAATTTTATTGAACATGTACATTACAAGATGGAATTTGACCAGTAACTACTTACATGTGAACCTGTGTAAATATTGTACAAAGTGCTGGTTATATGACATGTTAATTTAGAACACGCACTCCTCATCGACAACTACAGTCTAACAGTCAATATTATACAAATTAAATGTTTCTGAAGACATATTTTGACACAAAAGCAGTATTTGTGCTGAATGAGTTCCCAAAGCATGGTCTGCTGTTGGTTCATGGAGTAGCTCGTGTCATAAACACTTGTATTTTAATGTCTGCTGCCACAGCACCCAAATTTTCCAAATTTGAAGTCAAAAAAGCTTTCTGTCCTCAGTTGTCAAATGGTTTGGAAACCCAGCCTAGCAACAGTGTTCAATGTTTGCTCAGCACGAGTCAGCTCTGCCTTCAAACGCAGTTTGAACAAACCTCAGTTCCTAAGAGACCTCTCCTGGAGGGCTTCTGGACAAAGGGCCAGGGAAGGGGCCCAGGGTATTTTAATGCCTAATGTTAGTCTTGGAGGAAACAATTATTCAAAAAATTGGATATCTTTTCTAAGTTTGAACTGAATTTATAAAAAGTTGACTGAACACATCTTGGCCTCAGCGTGGCTTTCTCTCTGGGGCAGACATCTTGCGGGAGTCCTCACTTTATCCTCAGGGATGCTCGAATTCCAGTTCCAAGTCCACCCCATCTTCTGTATTCATTGTTCCTTCAACTGAGCAGCAGCAGCAGGGCTGACTGCTTGATGGAACCCGGGCTGAAGTGGCCATTTAATCCCCCATCTTAGGTTTTTTACGTGTATGTGCTAAGTCTTGAGTCATGTCTGATCCAACTCTTTGCAACCCTAACCCTTTGAACTGTAGCCCACCAGGCTCCTCCGTCCATGGGATTTTCCAGACAAGAACACTGGAGTGGGTTGCCATGCCCTCCTCCAGGGGATCTTCCCCACCCAGGGACTGAGCCTGCGTTTCTCACATCTCCTGCATTGACGGGCAGGTTCTTTAACACTAGTGCCACCTGGGATGCCCCGTACACGCATGCTGCTGCTGCTGTGTCGCTTCAGTCCTGTCTGACTCTGCAACCCCAGAGACGGCAGCCCGCCAGGCTCCCCGTCCCTAGGATTCTCCAGGCAAGAACACTGGAGTGGGTTGCCATTTCCTTCCCCAATGAATGAAAGTGAAAAGTGAAAGTGGAGTCGCTCAGTCATGTCCGACTCTTCGTGGCCCCGTGGACTGCAGCCCACCAGGCTCCTCCATCCATGGACTTTTCCAGGCAAGAGTACTGGAGTGGGGTGCCATTGCCTTCTCTGCCTTACATGTGTATATCAATGTAAATCTTTGGGGGCAGATATTAGAGGAGTTAATTATCAACAACTACTATATGAATACTACTTAGAGATTCGTATGTACCTAGCACCTATAACAACCTGATGAAATTTTACCATACATTCAAGTTCATTTAATCTTCACCACAACAAATGTGATAAGCATTGCTTTCCCATTTTGAGGAAGAGAAACCGAGAAACAGGAAGATTAGCCAGCTTGCCCCAGTAAAGCAACTTGCCCCGTCATGGCTGGGAAGGAAGCTGTCTGTCTCATAGGCTGAGCTGTGCAATATAAAGCATACACCTCAGCCCAGGTCCCCAGCAGCCTGTGGGCCTGCAGCCTTGCGTGCCTCCCTGGGTCATCTGAGCTGGAGGGAGGCCTTATACCCAAAGACACACAGGTCAAAGCCACAAAGGGCAGGCTCCTGGCAGCTTTTACTAGTATGACTATCAATGGCCATACTTCTCTGTGAATCCGCATGATTTACCTCAATGTCCACCAGAATCAAAGGTGATGAGAACTAGGATGAGGACCACCTCCCTACATGTTCAAGTCTTTGACCACAGAATCCATATGGCTGCCTACTCCGGGCCCAGAGCCAGGTGTGGCGGTCAGTATGCTTATCAAAGTCACCAGTCAGTCAGCTCCTACTGCACCCCGGGTGTTATTACAAACGTCATGACTACACAGTACAGACAGAAAGCTTGGTGCCAACACCTCCATGTTGCAGACAAGAAACATAGGTCCTTCATTGCCAGTTCTCCCTCAGGCCAACTGGTCTACCAGACATGACAAAGTGGGTTCTCATGCATCTGATATTATCATATCTTTCTAACAAAGCAGCACCTTTCCCATGAGGGCATTTTATGGGCTCTGCCATGGGAACAGTCACTGAAATTGGAAAGAAAAACACAAACATAGGGCAATAACCAACAGTATAAGGCAATATGTAGTAAAATATTAAAATATTTGCTTTTAATATTTGCATCCACTCAACTTGTAAAGGTGTCTACATTTCTAAACACTGTTTGCATATCTAAAGGATCCTTGTTGCAATAGTGAAGCAAGCTAGACTATTATATCAGGATGTCCCTACATGCGCGTGCACACACCAAGCACTATTATATCAGGATGTCCCTACATGCGCGTGCACACGCCAAGCATAGTCCGTTATAGCGCTGCCCTGGGAAAACAGATAATGAGAGCACCCTTGCAGGGCGGGGATTGTTATATCAGGGTTTACTTGAGCAGAACTGATGTTTTTTAGAGAGGAGAAATAGCTCCGTTACTGAATTTGTGTAACAATACACTGCTTGACAGTAAGTCCATAAGGAATTGGCCTTCAATGTAGGAGATTCAAGTTTGAGCCCTGGGTCAGGAAGATCCCCTGGAGAAGGAAATGGCAACCCACTCCAGTGTTCTTGCCTGGAGAATTCCATGGACAGAGGAGCCTGGCGGACTATAGTCCATGGGGTCACAGAGTCAGAAGCATCTGAGTGACTGGCACATACTGCACGGCTGTAAGTCTCGTCTCTGTCCCCAGCAGATCCCTACTCTGGGCAGGCCTGGGTAACACGTGCGGCTGGGAGACATGGGGCTCGGGGGGGTGGCAGTGTGGTGAGTGTGCCCCGACTGACACTCACTGTACAAAGGCGAAGGACCCAGGAATCACAGGTGGGCACACGGGACTGGTGTGGTGACTTGAATAGACCAGGACAGGGGTCCCAGGAGGTCCCCAGGTGTCAGAAGCGGCGTGGAGGCCAGTGTCAGATGGGGACAAGGGGAGCCAGCTCCCAGCTCGGGTGGGTGGGCTGAGCTGCATGCAGTCCTGGAGGCAGGATCTCATGGGGCAGGACAGGAGGGATGGCCACAGGCATGGGGAAGACGGACAGTGAGCGCAGACACACAGCCGGAGGCGGGGGACGGGGAGGGGAGGGAGGGGGCCAACGTCCGGAAGCGAGCAGGGGGCAGCACGCAGCACGGCAGGAAGGGCGGGCGCGGCAGACTCCGCCTGCGTGAGCAGCAAGGTGCCAAGGACATCCACGCGATGGAGGCGCGCAAGGCGCCCTTTGTTCTGATGGAGTGACGCAGGCAGAGAGGCGAGAGGGCGGGGGACAGCCCCTTTCCGCTGGGGTCGCTCGGGAAGTGAGGACGTCTTCCCAGGATGGATCAGCACGTCTCCCTCCTCCTCTGAAGGGTGACGTCTCCTTGGAATCCAGAAGAGCGGCAGCTGGTCGACTTTTAAATGC